GGTAGCTACCACAAAGGGAAGCTATTGAAAATACATGAACACGAAAAGTCAGAACACCGAGACAACGAAGTTTTATAACTAAATTGTTTACTTCCGGTCTTATGACAGCTGACTTGTGTTTATAGTTGGACGGGAGAGGAGTTTGCAAGTTACTCTCCTACTTTCTCGACTTTCGCGTCTTTTTTGTGTTTAGAAAAGACACATTTTCTCCTTCAGAGTTCTGGCTAAGGAACACACTGTAACCATGCTTTTGTTTCTACTACTTTTCCAAGTGTTTGCCTCTCACACTTTGTCTGAAACGGAAATGATTTCCATAGAGAATGCAACAACAACGACGTCAACGAAACTCACGCCAGTGTTCGACATGTGCAAAGCTTTTTACAATCAGTACATGGAACAGACTGATCGTCTTGTCAAGTGTGAGCTGGTGTATGCCAATCCCTTCCGGATGTGTACTAAGTGTATAAAGGAGTATTTCTCTGCAAGTCAAACGTACAAGGACTTGATTGTAAGTCGATAGATTAGTTCTCTAGATCTAGATCTAGATCTAGATCTGATCTAGATCTAGAATCTAGATATCTAGATCTAGAGTCTAGATATATAGATCTAATCTAGATCTAGTATATTATAGATAGTCTCTAATATTAGATCTAGATCTAGATCTATATGATCTAGATCTAGAACTATGAGAAGTAAGTTCCCACCCGGGTCGAGTCACTTCTCATCTCTCCTTTCTATCTCTATGCTAGTTTTATAAAGATGTAAATGTAATACAGGCTGAAGACTGATCTCTGCACCTGGGATGGGAATTAGACATAATTATCCTATTTCTTCTGGCAGATCTAGAATCGAGGTCAAGATCTTGTAAGCCTCTACAATTTTATGCTGGGTCTGGAAATATTGAGCACAACATTCAAACGAGAGTGCTAATAGGGCCTATATAATATGCTTAGAAGGGGAAAAATGTCACTTTTTTAGCTTTTGAATGCTTTTTGTCATATCAAATCAATCTCATTGAAAGCATAGAAAAAGGCCAACAATATGAATTATATGAACAGAGTTTCTACATACTCGGTAACGGGGCACCTAGCCTCATCAGTGTCTACGTACACAGGCACGTAGCAGTGTCACGTACACGGTAACGGGGAATGTAGCCTCAATGTCTACGTACACGGTAACCGGCAACTGGGCATGCAGTCACAGTGTCACGTACACGCTAACCGGGAAGTTCAGAACTCCCAAGTTCAGTTTTTGTCATCCGGTGTTGCCTTCAACCCCACTCCTCCCTCGACTGTATCTTTTTAAAAAATCAATAATCCCCCCTCTTTATAAATAAATACTTCGCAGCGCACAGACTTTGAATGAACTTTGGTGACCCCAACCAGTACTCATTATAAATGTGATGCGAAAGCTCAGGTTCACTGACCGGTTACGATGGCGAACCCAACAAGACGCTTTTGTATGACTTCCTTTTTTTTCAGCAAGTGACTGCACAGGACAAATATTGATTTGTTTTCGTTCTGGTTACCGTGTACGTAGACTGTCGTAGATACTGAGATTAGGTGCCCGGTTACTATGTACGCAGATACTGAGATTAGGTGCCCGGTTACCATGTACGCAGATACTGAGACTAGGTGCCCGGTTATCGTGTACATAGGTAGACACTCCGTTATAATTATAAGTTTTAACTAAATCATGCTCACAAGATCACATATCTAGATCTAGTCAAAAAATGGCTGAAGAGTAAACATTCACTGGAGGGACTAACAATAATGACAGATGAAAGGATGACGGCCTAGGCTTTCTCAGTTCCAGGCCACACAGCCCGCACAACTGGCCTCGGCATTGGAGGCCTACCACGTTCCCGGAGGGTCAATGCGAAAAGCGGCGATAGACTAGTGCGTTGGTGCGGGTGATGGAGCATTATCGCACTGTACTCACTAGACTGGCCTACAACGAACCTTACTTAAATGCAATGCATTTTTGTTGTTGCAGCTTTTTTGTGAGAGTATGTATATCGGCTCTTGTATAACAAAAGAAGATCTCACCAGTGACATGGTATCAATTCGTCAACATGAAAAGGAATTACGTTTGCATTTTACCGCAAAAAAAGACCGTGGCACACTAGTGGGATAACTTTTGTTCTTCACTAGCAACATCGTTCTCATTCTACATGTTTCAACAAATATCACACACACACACACACACAGAGATATATGTATATATATATATATATATATATATATATATATATATATATATATATATATATATATATTATATATTACAAGCTGGGCCCCCTTTCGATGAAAGGAATGATCGGTGCCTTAATATCAACTAAAAGTCATTGGCCTACTATATTTACACTCTACTGGAATGGGGCAATAAATCTTGAGAGATGCAAAAAATTATGTCTAGATCTATACTCTCAAAACAAAATGTGCATTGCGAAATATCACTTCCGGATTTTCTAAAATTACAAAGACTGAAGCGTCGGCCTACAAAAGCGATCGGCGAAATAAAGAAATTTAGCTTTTTGCAGCAAAACTGTCTCTAAACTGAAAAAACGAAGGGCGCCATGCTCTGGAGAATATTTTAAAGAATCTTTTGGCGATAACCGCATGTCGATCGATGCAGCCATTAAAAAGTATTTTGAATAGCAAAATTGGGGCACCGCAAATAGATAATAGACATATGCCAAGATACACGTATCGATATATATATGTCCGTATATATATAGACATATATATTTATATATATATATCACATGTAACTGAACACAGTCCTTTACCTCTGAAAAAAAAAGTTGGTTACTTTGCTATTTTTTTCTTCTCCTATCCTTCATTTGCTCCGCAAATCTTTTCGTGAAGATATCTGCCAGCCGCATCAGCTTACGATAACAATATGGAATATCGCTTGAAAGTCCCACAAAATCACCACCAATCAGTTTCTGCACAGTTTTTTCAGTGGTTTCCATTTTTTTAAAAACAACAAACCTACTCAACAAATAGTAGTAGTCGTGTAGGCCAACAATGTCTCTCTGGAAGGTTACACACGAAGTGCAAAATTTCATCTAGGCTAACTGACTCTAGTATGTGACAACATCTCAAGTAAAGCCAGGATGCCTGATGTGCTTCAGTTTGTGAAGCTTCAAATGAAACCTCTTTCACGTGGTCATGGGTATGGTGAACAAAAGTAAAATACATGGAAAATGCAAAAACAGGGCCATCTCGAGATCTGCTGAGCAAGATAAATGTATTATAATAATCTTTACTCTTTGCAACATTGCCAATGGCTGTCAGCGTTATATCCATTGTTTGATAAAATGAATCGAACTTGAAGACATCTCTTTCTTTAAATATATCATCAATATCAGCAGCTCTAGAAGAAGCTGAACTTGTTGTAGTTGCTCTCTTTTTTTGGAGCTGGTGTGCCGCAACATGATGGTGGTACTTCTGGAAATATTGTTGGAGACTCTGTGGACACTATAAATTTTCCAGCCCATGTCAAAGGTACATCAGGTTTGAAGTGCAGAGAGCAAACTCCCATAGACCTAGATATATATATATATATATATATATATATATATTGTAATCCGTGACATCTTCTATGATTAATTTATTTGGAACACTTTTGATCCACTGTGCTTTTTTTCCGAATCTTTTGGAAATCTATATTATTGTTATTTTGCCTCTCCGTTTTGGCTGGCAAACCACTTCTACTACCCCATCCCCTGCACTTTCTTCCCATGTTTAAATGTTGCTCACACGGTTCATTGCACTGAAACTGAGACGTCAGCTGAAAACTTTTTCACAGTGACTGTAGATTCTAGTAACAATAACATTCAAGATGAAAGGAAACTAGAATCTGGGCTGAACACTAAAACACATAATATAAGCACAAATTTAATCCTTAGAATTGAGTGTAGTGAAAATACATCCAAACGAAAAAAACGTGAGCTCCCAAGAGGACTGAATGAAATAATGAAGAGGCTAGGAGATTAGACAGACTAGACGGCTACGCACCACACACATTACTATTACACTATCGGCACGCAAAAATGTTCCATCACCTGTATACGTATTAGTATTAGAACATCTGCCTATCGCCGCTTTTCGCATTTAATCGCCGCTTTTCACGTTGATCCTCGATAAGATAAGGACCGGTCTTGCGGCGAGCTTATCAAGATAAGGTCGTCCACCACGGCCCTCAATACCGGAGCCAGTCGTGCGGGCTGTATGGCCTGGACTGAGAAGGCCTAGATGACGGCCCTTCCACTGCATGAGGGGCCGATTCAAATGCACGAACACACACACACACACGAATACGCAAACACACACACACGCACACCCCAAGCAGTCGACGACATTGAAACCAACCTCGCATCCCCTAGTAACGTAGCCCATCACGGCGTGAATGAATTGTCACATACCAGTGATCTCGTCACATACCCGAACTTGTGAAAAATGTGTGGTGAGTTCCCCGTGGATTGGCAGGCAAACCCACACATGTCAAGCTTTAATCAATAATATTTTTAGAAATACAAAACCAGAGTTTATTCATTCAAAATCTACCCATGTCAACCTTTCTGTTTCAACATTTTAAAGAGAAAACGGACACATTTTTGGGTGCAATATTATGTTATAAAACCTGTTAAAAATTTGCATGTCCTTACTGTATGCAATAAAATAAATTTATCTAAACTAAAATGGTACAAGATGGCTAGTGGCTTTACATGGGGGAAATGGTGTGACGATTTCACAGTTAATGTTATTTGGATACAGTGGGACGAGTTCCCTGATTCCTGCAAGCAATTGCATGCGTATAGCAAAAAAATGTATTGGTGCACGCAACTGCGTGTGTATACCAATAGCAAAAAATGTATTGGTGGCACGCAATTACGTGCGTATGGCAAAAATGTGTTAGTGCACGCTTAGTGCATGAAATTGCGTGAGTATAGACACTCCCATGTTTCTGGGCCTGGTAGCTAAATAACCCCGTAAGCCTATAATTTGTAAAACAGACCAGGGAATTTTTCTTAGTAAGCTTGAGGACAGAGATGATTGCAAAATAATTGAGACTGTGTTTTAGATGGATGTTTGGTGAAATACCAGGAATTTACTTGATCCATTAGCAGTTGGTATCAGAAGGGAATTGTGATGCACGTTCTGAACAAAGTAGAACCTTTAAGTTGTATACTTTTAAAGGCTTCTTAATACAGATTTCAACATAAATTAAGGACCACCTTGACAGACAGCCCTGATTTTTTTTTAATGAGAAAAAAGACAGCTAAGTAATGTTCCAAAATTTGTTGCTCTGAAAGTGTTAATGGGTTACCATTGCGTACTGCAAAGCTTCCTAAAGGGGCAAAACCACCACGTGCAGCACAAAAATCCTCTGGGAATTTTAGCCAAATTTGCTGTTTTTTATCGACTTTTGTGCATCTGGATCGATAACAACAACATCGACTTTTGTGCGACACCAAGGAATTCCTCAGTTTAAATTTCTGGTGCACGTCATAAACGGACGTACAGTCTCGAACCGTGTTACTTTGGTGGCAATATAAGCCGCGGTTTGCGGAAAATCGAGTATCGCATCAACGTGCCACCAAGACAAAAACTGAGAGACTTTGATTATGCCAGAGCTATGGCATGGCTGCAGGATGGAGTTGGAGCCCGAGAAGTTCCCAGACAGCTTGCAGAGTCACACTCTGTCATTGTCCGCTTGAGGCAGTGCCATCAAGCCTCTGGATCAGTCCAAGAACGCCCACGTGTTGGTCGACCCAATAAAACCACTCAGAGTGTCTGCAAGTGGTCCTTAACTTATGTTGAAGTCTTGCAGAATTCATTGTGTGCCTTCCCTCCCTTCCTCCGGCCCTCTATGCTTTTTATCATCATCACCCTCTAATTGTTTGCTCGCAGGTTTAAAAAAAAATTTGTTTGGTTCACTGAATATATGTTGGAATTATAATTTCAATACCGGTATGTAGATGATGATGATTTTTATTCGAACGACTTAAAATGTACTGTTTAAAATAAAGTTCTGACTTGGCCTTACTTTTCCTTCACAGAATCAGCCTGAGCTAGAGGCATGTCGCGAGAAATATTTAGTCGCTGACCGTGTGCAGGTCGTCCCCACAATACAGAAGAACATAGAACAAATGTGGGACGATGCTGACTGTAAAGGTGAGTGCAAGAGCTATGTGTTTCATTTTAATTAGCATTGACAAAATATGGGTCTTTCTTATCATCCTGTGTATGTGGATTCAATGTCCCCAAAATTCACTTCAGTCATTCCTGAGTTAAAAAGTAAGTTATAGATTTTATTAGTAGTACTTCTTTTGAAACAAATAAGTGGCCAGTTTGTTAACCATTTCCATAAAAGAAATATATAAGGACTATGATCCTGTTTTACAGCCACTGAGGTCCACTGAATGTTTTATTTTACTGCCACACCATGGTAAGGGTTAATAACACAGCAAAGCTGATTAAAGTTGGGTTTTTTAAATAAATCATTGTAGGCTTGAAAAAATGTTTTGTATCTTGAGATTTTGTGGACTTCAGCCATTTTTTAACTGACTTTGTATTTTTATATTTAATGAAGCTGATAGAATCAGTTTTGCAAGTAAACTAAATATATTTGGGGGGGGGGGGGGGTGTTTTAAGTACACTTTATTTCAAGTCATCTTCGAAGCATGAAGTCACGATATTCTTCAAATACAGTACATTAAGGGAAGTAATTCTTGCATCATGTATGATATTAGCAAATTTTTACTGCATGTGAAAATACTTATATTATCAAAAGTTATTTATTTCATATTGGATTTACTTTAACACTTACATTTCTATTTTCAGGGGAGATTTTTTTTGCAGGATCTTTTAAATGCTGAATGTTTTCATTTATCTTTTGTTACAGAATTTTTCCTCTTTGTTAAAGGATAATGAAATACAATTTGTGTGGGCTTTTTTTCTGACAGATTGTACGGAAAATGTTACCATCAACTCGACCACGATGGAAGTAAGCTACTCAGTGCCGACTGATGTGTTGGAATTTGCAACATTGTACTTCAACTTCACCAACTGTGTTGATGCTCATACAGTTCAATTGGTACGTTACTTAGTTATTACATGGTTTACTTATATTGAGAGAAATCTCTCTTACTCGAAAAGTTTAGGGAGCACACTGCTGATAAAGCAGTTGCAAGAAATGTTCCAAAACCATACATCTTTCTTTTGTTTTGTTTTTTCTTCAGATATACTTATTTAAATCATTGGTTAATACAAACATTTACTTTACTGCTAGACTACATATTGTTTATTTGCCTGTCTTTTTTTTAAAGTAAAGGAAGAACTGTTAAAAGATTCTTGTTCTCTCAAGCACGTAGACCTGCTGCGTTGATGGTGGATTGTACAGTGAGTGTATGGGTAGTTGGAGGGCCCCAATATTTGGTTATGCTTTTTTCTATCCCTCTGTTATTTCTGTCTATCTTGCTTTTTTTGCTGCGTCAAATGGCTATATTGTGTCATCTGAGTACTCAAACCAACAGTCGATCAAAAGAGCATTCAACTGAAGGTGCATGTGATTAGGTGTTGCTCTTTCCTTAAACTCTAGATTTCCTTCCTTTGTGTTCTGTTCCAGCTAATGTTAGGCTCTTTACTGTTGCATAGTATGCAGGAGACCTGTATATTCAATTTATTATTTTTTTTAGGGGGAGGGGGGTATCAAGTTCGTCAATCTGTCCTATTTTTCTTCTGTCGGGGGTGGCTCTATTTCAATTTCCAAAGGACTCTCAAGCTATGGGAATCACCAAACTTTGGCAGCCGTTTTCTCGCTAATTTTATCTTTGAAACCATGCAACCCAACCTCGTTTAATCGGAAATATCTCAACTTCTGTTCAAAATGGGAATTTTTTTTTTTTCATCAAAAGATAGACAAATGAACAAGATTTAAGATGATACCAGAAAATAGACAAAGGAACAAGACTTAAGATGATACCAGTAACTCTATATGCTCCAAAATTGACAGACGCCTGATTTCATCGTGTTGTAACACAAATTATGTTGATGTGTGTGTGTGGGAAGGGGGGGGGGTTATGTAATAATTCTGTTTATGTGGTATTTATGAGGTACGTGCTGCATTCGGGGGGGGGGGGGGCACCTCTGCAATCTTCATTGTTCTATTTTGTGTTCTGTCCCAGGATGATGCTGTAGGGCCTCAGGATAACCTGACTGTCTGCCAACTTTGTTTGGAGGAATACTCGAGGCTCAGCGACCACTACAGCAGCATGTCTGACTTAAAGAAAGGAATCCTGTGTATGGACGTGGTGGATATGGTAGGTGGTGCTTCTTCTTCTTCTTCTTCTTCTTCTTCTTCTTCTTCTTCTTCTTCTTCTTCTTCTTCTTCTTCTTCTTCTTCTTCTTCTTCTTCTTCTTGTTGT